ACCACAAGCATTAGGGGTGATCATGGGCCATGTTGGGCCTGGGCCTGAATGTAAAATATAAATTACATCCCAGGCCAGGATAGATCGCCACTCAAGCGTCCACGGATAAACAAAAGAGGATACATAAGTCCAGAATATAATCAAGCAAAAGATGAAAATTCCATTCAATGAGATGAATGTTTCCTTGTAGATCCTTAATATAGCCTCAAAGTTCAATCTTTAGAGTAATCAGCTCTGCCTCTCAAGTAAAATCTGGCCACAGACAAAACAACCCAAATGATTCATTAACAGGTTGACCAACACAATTATTTTAATCTATCAATTCAAGAACTTCCATACACCTTTTAGAATCTCTGCAAAACATTTCCACCAAACCCTTTTCAAAACTGGAAGCTTTGAAACCTTTGGGCCTAAAAAAAGCTCAAAACATTGTCTTAATAGACCCACACCAAAGCCATTTCAAAATAGAAACACTTAGTCTATATTTGGATTGGTTACATTGCATATACTACCTATTGCAATTGTATAACACTATTGCTAAGCTTTGGTATCTTGTGTGTGATTTTGATGGGGATTACCAATTAATCCACTTAATTTGTAAAACTATTGTTCATAATTCTTTTGGAATTTTATTGCATGCTAAGGAGAGCTTGTAAGAGATAGACGCTTGGACATGAGGTTATATGTTATAAACAAATGGTTCACATAAGATGGTTTAAATGGAGAGTGCCTATTTGTTGGTATTGAAGTTTGAAGTCTAATATTTGTTGGAATTTCTGAACTTTTCTTGATTCTAAAGCTTAATCTTGAATAAGAGAATGATTGATGATTATGATTATGATTATTTCAAATGATTTAAGAGATTGATTAATAACAAATAATTATTACTAATCAATAATAAATAAATATAATAATTAATTAACTATATTAATATTTGTATACATATGCATATTCTCTCTCTCTCTCTCTCATCGAACCGATGCCAATCAGTTAACCAGTTGAGCGATTCGGTTAACCGTGGGTTCGGTTCATCAGTTTTTCGGTTTTTTAATTTTTACAATATATATTATAAAAAATTATATATAATATTATATTTTAAATAATAAATAATAAATAATATATCATATATTTATATATAATACATATTTATTAATTTATAATATATAAAAATATAAAATATATATAATATACATAAATATATAAGATATATAGAAATATATGTATACCAGCTGGTTCAATTAACCGTCAATTTTCTAAATTGGTTAACCAAAACCGAACCAATCAATTTGGTTAACTGATTTTTCGATTTGGTTTCGATCGGTTTTTTGTCACCCCTAATTAGTATGAGTTGGATTCGTATAATGGTCAGAACTGAAAAATATTTTGAAATATTTAAATTGAATGGTGGAAAAGTTGTCTCTAACCTCTCAACACCTACAGAGTTAACAGAAGTAGGGGCCAACAATAGGGAGGGCTCTAGAAGTGTCACCAATGGTTGACCACCAAATATTCCCCATCTTTTTGGTCAAATGGTAGTGTATAATGGCATCATCATCACATTCCTCTCCTAGTTGCTCTGTTTGTAAGGTTTGCAACGACCCAACAAATAAGGATTGATGATTTTAATGGTCTACCAAACAAGAATATGGTAAGAAACAAACCAGCAGCTGGGACTGACTCTTTATGTCTTCGATGAAGTGGCAATGGAACATGGGACGCTCTATACTCAATGGATGAACTCACAGGAGAGAAACAAGATGTTAGCTACAATGGGACATTTCCAGCTCGAAATTAATTTTCAGATTTGAAGGAGGAATAGAGAGAGAGAGAGAGATTTTAGATGCAGGGGGAGCTGCAATGGAGGTAAGGAGGAGAAGGAAGAAAACAGGGATTGAATGCCGTGGTGGGGTTCCCTAGTTTTTATAAGAGAAGAACTGAAGACAAGGCTGAACGCTCTGAAGTCCTTTGAAATCATACAGATGGACTTTAGTGTCAAGCTTTAGAGCTATTGACACTCAAGAACTCTTTCATCTGTGTTCATCGATTTCCCCCTCTGGGTTCAAAACCAGATCTGATACTCAAGAACTCAGGATTTAGATACGTTTTCTCTGAACTTACATCTTTTTTTTCAATTTCTATCAATTTCAAAAAACAAATTCCTACATGTCTATCTTTTGTTTTCTTATATTAAAAATTAAAAAAAAATCTATCAAGTTTTGTAATTTTCCTACGTTTTTTTTATGTTTGGTTTTCTTGTACTTTTGTTATTTATCTGAATTTTTTTTGTTTGACTATAATTTTTGTTCTTCCTGCAATTTTTATTTTCTTCAATTTTTTGTATTTCCTGTAATTTTTGTATTTTCTTTGAATTTTAGTGTTTTCTATGATTTGCAATGTTTCATAATTTCTGTTGTCTTTTTTTTTTGCAATTTATACATTTCCTCTATGTTTTTGTTATTTATTTCCAATTTTTGTGTTATTTCTGTAATTTTTACAATTTTTTCGATTTTTGTGCAATTTCTATTTTTCAATTTTATCTTTTTCTAAATTTCTGCATTTTTTATTTTTTACATTTTTCTGCAATTTTATATGGTTTTTACAATTTTCCGTTTTTATGTGAAATGATACTTTTATTTAATTTTTAATTTTTTATTATTTTTCCTATAATTTTCATATAATATATTTATTATTTTCAGTTTTTTTAGCAATTTTATTATATTTTAAAAAATATTTTTTTAACTTTTTATCATTATATATATATATTCATAATCTGGGTCAGCAATAAAAATGGGTTTGAGGATCAATATGAGTGGATTGTTAGTCAACCCACCCATTTGCCACCCCTATCCAGAAGATCTAAATATGTAACTGTCTTAACAAAATGCCACTTTTTTTGTTGCAGAAACAAATACAAAAGAAAAAAAAAAAAGAAAAAAGAAAAAAGAAAAAAGAGAATTCTTAAATGATTGAATTACCTGCAGCCTACGGGTGAGTCCGGATCTGTTCCTCATAGAGCGCGCCTCACACTGACCTCACAGCCTGTCCAGGCCGCACAACGTCGGTGTGAGGCGCGCTCTGAGGAGAAGATCCCAATTCCCTGCGGGTGAGTTAATTCTATTCTGACTGTCTGTTGTTGCCAAATGCATGGCCACGTTGGTGATCAGAACAGATTGTTCTTTGAATGGGGCACCTTTAAATTTTGGGCACATTTGGAAGCTGGAACATCATGGAACCATATTTCTCCAAAGCTTCATGCAATAATTTGATGTGTGAGATTATCCCAAAATTGGGGGATCAGGGTGGTCTTCCAGGCAGCAGTTAGTAACTACACCCGGCCATCCCTTTGGCCATGCTCTCATTTTCCTAGGTAATAAGTAAATAAGTTTATCTGTGTTCTTTTTCATGAGTTTAACGTTTACCAGGTAAGTTCATTTTCCAGGGCATATTTTTTATCAGAAAATTTTACAATTATTAATCTTCATTAGTAAAATTTTCCTTAATTTGTTGTTTGTGTTCCCTCTTTTTTTTTTGTTTTTCATAACAATAATAATAATAATAATAATAATAATAATAATAATAATAAATTCAGATAACTATTAACACTCTTATTAATCCCAGCAACAATATTTGTCCATGATACAATCGGCCCTCGCTCCCCCTTTTTTTAGTTTTTTTTTTTTTTTTTTTTAACATGGTTCAGAGGAATCGGTCTAAGGCCTTTCTACCCCCTGAACCAAGTTAAACCCTGAAACATCCCTGTAAAGGCATATCGGGAGGCTTCCGATATAATATGTATCGGCCAATATAATCCGATATGTATCAAAATTTTAATCTAGGAATGTCAACGACTCAACGAATCATGTTTGAATCAGGTTTGCTGCAACCCTAACTCGACCCTCTACTGCCTCTACCCATGTTAGGTTCAAAATGCATTTGTATGTGTTAAAAAACAATTAATTCAAAGAAATGATCAATATGACATTAATCTATACTACACATAATGGCTCTTGATGGGTTAATAGTTCAACCGTCTAAGCTGATGACATCATAAATCAGATAATAAAAGCAAAAGTAGACAAACATGCAAAATTACAACAGAATTAAAAAATGGCCATGACTATAAGGCCATAATCCAATCAGATTTTTGAAATTTTAAATCCAAATCTAATATATCCAACTTGGGTTGAAATTGGACTTGATTCAAATCTGCATTATAGTGTTTGAAATAAAGAAAATTTTAAATAGTTTCAAAAATTTTAATTAGCTTTTAAATATTTGATTTATTAACCGATAAAGTTAAAATTTATATAATTGTTTATGATATCAATATACATAATTATATACAATTAATACATTCATAGAAATAAAACTTGCATAACAAATAAATCAAAATAGCATATATTTTATTAATGATGGAAATGGCTAAGAAAACAAAAAAAAAAAAAAGAAATGTAACGTGTAAAATATGCCCCATTGACAGGATCAAACTTCTCGCCAAAAGGTTTGATGATTCAACCAAATGAATAACCAGGTCTTGAGTTCATTTTTAAATTTTAGGAGTGATGAATACAGGCTTAGCTATGTTATCAATTAATAATAATAAAAAAAAAACATGTAGTCAGTAATACCCAATCAACCGGTATATCATAAAAAGATAACCAATCAGGGCCTCAGGGGTATTCATCTTGTGCTTTGATGGGTCAAAAGACTCAAAACTCTACCGATAATTATGTGAGACCTAAACCAAGTAGAGTGTACCACATTGACCATAAACACCAATTTTGCTCTAGAAGTTTCATCCCATGAGAAAAGATGGCGACATTACACTGCCTGCTAGAGTTAAAACCATCCTACTGTAAATAGTTAGACCCTTTAACGCTAATGCAAATCCATAGATTTTATTAATATGAAACAGTGGGGTAGCTGAATGGAATTGGAGTCTTGCAACAGATTCCATGGCACACCAAAAACCAAAATTTAGAGCTCTTTTTCACAAGGGCTTCATAAGAATCACAGCTTTAAACCGAAAAAATCACATCCTAAGTTCCTAACAATACTTTTATATTTTTTCTTTTTGTTGAAGTGCCTAACAATGTTTTTATAAGCGTTTGTAAAAGACCCACGCCTTAATACAAGATTTTCATCAGGACTGAAGACTTGCCATAAAGCATCATGACCTACTGAAAAACATTAATGCGAAAAGAGCTCACCACACCCTCTGACACAGAACATCAAGTTCAAGTTCCACACATGACCATCACCAGGTTTTACTTCACAAATATAGACAAAAGAAAACAGTGTTCAATAAAGTCAATAAGTTCCCCAATCCTTTCCTTAGCGTGCTTCATATTGAACAACTGCAACAACGAGATCAATCACCGTGAGTAAAACAAATAGAAGCATCATCTGAAAAAAAAAATTAAGTAAAGCAGAATCGGTTCGGATGTCTTGAATGTTAAATTTGAATCCGATTTTTTTTGGTAGAGAGAATTGAGTTCTTGATTGTATTAATAATCAAAAGGAGTACATGAGATGATATACAAAAGTAAAACAAGCAGCCTGGATCTCCTGCAAGCGAAAACTCTGCTCACACAACAACAAACCGCAAACCGCTCATTGGGAATGTCGCAGACATGCATGTTAAATTCATGGGGAGATACTGCCAATGTGAAGATGGATTCCCATGCTTTCAGTGTGTTTAGAGTTTTTGCTTGCAGAGAATCCCACTACTAATCTAAGGCCCTAGAGTACTCTGAATTCCTGTATAGGTACTCCCATGCTAGCTCCAACCTCCAAGATTAATCCTCTTTTATTTACTTTTTTAACCTTTTTAAATAGAAGGTATTTCCATAAGAACTAAAGATGTCAACAAATAGACCTGTTACCGGCCAGGTCATGCTTTATATTAACCAAACACATTCAGGCCTGAACCTGAGTCCAGCCCGACCATCGGGTCTAGGCCTTGAGCCTGAGCTCAGCCCTCGTATAAAGCCTGAAACCTGTCTAGAAAATTGAAAAAAGAAAGATTTTTTTTTTCTTTTTCAAATCAATAAAAACTGATTTATTTATTTATATTAAAAGAGTAAACAACCAAACAAAATTTTCATTTTATAGAAAATAAATAATAATAATAACCTAGAGTTAACCAATCTTCTATCAACATTTGACTTACCACATGGCCATTGGATTTTTCCAACATGTTGAGGATTAAGAGAGGGCATATGGCCACTCTTCCATCAAATGTTACCTCTACAGTGGTGCCAAATTTGATGAATGAGCTGAGCTAATATCCATCTCAACTGCTGACAGCTGACATTTTATCTGTCCTCTAAATGAATTTTTATGCACAGAGATGCCACCATTATTGGATTACATTGGATTGTATGGGATTCCCTCCAACTCTTACTGTGCCAATGGTAAGAGTTGTTTGGCATTTATCAAAAAAATGGAAAAACTGTTTGGCCTAGTGTAAGTTGGGTGATCAAGAGAATAAAAACTTGATCATATGAGACACTTGTCTCATCCAAAGGGACTTCACTCAGTCTGTTATGGTGCCAAAGACCCAATGTGCAAATTTGTTTCCCCTTTTCCTGAAAACCTGGACTGAAACGTTGGGATCAGACCTACATATAGACAGCCTGAGTTGTCAAATAAAGATAGATATAGAAACAGACGCTTTTGGGAAGGGTGAAGAACCCCTTGAGAACTGCCCAATTCACTCAGTCTGTTATGGTGCCAAAGACCCAATGTGCAAATTTGTTTCCCCTTTTTCTGAAAACCTGGACTGAAACGTTGGGATCAGACCTACATATAGACAGCCTGAGTTGTCAAATAAAGATAGATATAGAAACAGACGCTTTTGGGAAGGGTGAAGAACACCTTGAGAACTGCCCAATTCGGATAAAACAGTCCCTAGTTGTATTTAGCTTCTGTGGACATGTGTCTCAATCCATCTTCTTCCTTTTCTCTTGTGGGTTGGAGCACTGATTTCAGTCATCTATCACAGGGAAGAGTTAGTTCCTCAATGTCCAACAAAAATTATGGGCAGGAGATAGATGGGGGCTCACGTTTATTTCATATACGATATAAAAGTCTGATACAGGAAACTTTACGTTGTCCATCTCATGGGCAATATCAGTTATGCATTAAATACACAAGGTACTTTACTTTGTCTATCAAATTTATGTGTTTATGAACACACGTAGACAGACACCCACACACAGTATGTCAAATACACCAAATGCTTCTGGACTGTCTTCTTCCCCCAATTACATGGCACTAATAAAAGCCTAGTACATTACAGTTCTGTGTTTTCCTAAAGAAAGTCATAAGATTGCAAAAGAAAATACTGAAACACTTGCTTCTTATATAAACATGCACACCACATGTATGTCAAACACATTAAACACCTGGATTGTTTTCTTTCCCCCCAATTTACACAGCATAAATAAAATCCTACAGTGCAATAGAATTCTCTATTTGCCTATAGCAAGTTATCAGATTGCAAAAATAACAATGGAACACTTGCTAGTGGCAAAAAAATATAATTGCCACTAATGATTAGATCCTACAGAGAACCTTGTTCAGTTTTCAGCTCCAAGAACAAATTTAGTGCGTATAGAAGCATGACTCTGACTATGTACAACCAATAAGTTTGGTGTTTCAGTTTTGTTGTTTTTTCTTTTTCTTCTTCTTTTATTCTTGCTAAATCTTTTGACCCCATGAAAAGCTAGCAAAGCCCTGAATATAGAACACGCCCCAGCTCCAATTCAAAAAAAGGCAGCCCGATGCAAGAGTCTCCCACCAATGCGGGGTCTGGGGGGGGACAGATGTATATAGAGAGACTGTTTCCAAGCCCCAGCTCCAATTCAAAATAATACAAATAGTACGCTCCAACATCTACCCATCTACAATTCCATTATCCATACAAACACATTTAGCAGAGCACAACAAGCGGTAATTGAAATAGGATTAGTGACATCGCAATAAGATAAATTCTTTTAAAAACTCAGTTAAATGACTAATAAACAACAACTCAGTTAAGTCCATTCAACTCTATGAAGTTCGTTTGTTTTAGCTTAAAACGAAATAAGTAACTAAAATAAACTATCAGCAAGGTGGCTTACTTCTCCGGGTTCGCTTCTTGTACAAGATGCGATAACCGCATTCTCGGCATTGAATCACATCACCCGGCTTCAGGGTGTTCTCCATCCCGCAATCTAGACACCGAAAATATCAATAAGCCGTCAAAACTTCACACAAGCAATCAATAGGCGAGAATCTCAGGACCTGGAGAGAGAGAGAGAGAGAGAGAAAATAATCTTACCCCCACAGATGTAGCTAACTGGTTCAGGTTGTGGATCCATGAATGAAGAATGAGGCACTGAAATTAAAAGAAGAAGAAGAAAGAAATCAAGCGTTTTGAAGGGAAGAAAAGTAATAGTAGATCATAAAATATGGAAATAGGGATTCATCAAATTGGAAGAATTAGGGTTTTAGATAATCGCTTCCATTTACTTTACCTTAAGAGATGTGGATACAGCGAGAGAAAACGAGGTTTTAGCTTTGGAGGAAACAAACTAACGAGGAGATGATTATCCTTGTTTATAAATGGAGAGAGAGAGTTTTGACTTGCGAAACAAGAAAGAGTTGGGATTTATTGAATCCGCAACGGATTGAATACTTCCGGAAGTCTCGGCTCGGTTCGGTTCGGTCTGAATTGTGCTTCGAGCAATATATGTATATATTAATATATTTATATATAAAATTTTAATTTGTATATATAATAATAATAATTATTATTATTTTTAATTAGTAATTTTTTATATGTTAAATAAAAATTAATTATATATATATATATCTTTATTTTTATAAAACATTTAATTCATAATCGAGTTTGAGTCAAGCCAAGTTTGAATTTTCAAGTTTTTTGGACTTGAACCGAATTCAAGCTCAAGTCTCTAGCTCGAATCAAGTTCAAGCTTAATAGTCTCTTAGCAAACTAAGCTTGAATAGCCAAATATTTGGCTCAACTCGACTCGAATCTACTCGTAGTTTATTCGAATTATGAATGCAAATGGATCAAACTGAAATCGGGTTGGGGTATCTGAATTCAACTAAAAAATTTGAATCCTATACAAAAATTATTCGTATTGAAAAAGACTATCAGATATTCGAAAATGTATCCAGAACAAATTAAGTAATCGATTTTTAATAAAAAAGTATTAAATAAAAAAAACGAAAAAATACAAAACATTAATCACTTCCCACAAGAAAAAAAAACAATTAAAAATTTTTTCCCTTCCTAGCTCCATCTCCCATGGTTTTCAAAGCCTGACTGGACTGGAAAAACCGAGAACCGGTCATGACCAATTTCGTTTTACCCTAGAACCGTTATTTACCTCAAAACCATTGATTTAGTCAGCAAATCGCTGATCTGGGTGGTTGAACCATTCGAGTCGTTCAACGGTTTGGTCGGACCGTTTGACTTGGGAATCGGACCCCTGATCGGTTTGTTGTTCGAGTCGGTTTTAAAAACCTTGCCATCTCCTTTGACCCCCCCCCCCTAAATTTGATTATTTTTAGTAGTAATAAGTGTGTATGTTCTTTGCATGTAGCAATTTTAGATGATGATAATTATAGTAATAATATATCCAAAATTTTCAATAAACTTTATGTATTTTTTATTTTTACTTTTTATATTTTTCTTCTTTTTTATTATTAATTAGATGCAGATCGCAAATCTAAATCTGATTACATAAACATCTCAACCAAATGTGTGATAATTATATTGAATCGTGAAATTTCAAGTATCATTGACAGGCCTACTTGCTTGGCTAAACTCTTCTTTTTATAGTGTTTTATCTTTTGGTGTATCTTTTTTCTTTTATTCATTTATAAAAAAATGTAAGATTAAATAGAGGGAATTGAATGAAAATAAAAAGTAGTATTTCAATTTACAATTTAAACCTTACAATTAAATAGGGAATAAATTAAAAAATGTGTATTTTAACCATTGTTTTAAAAACCAGACTAGACCAGATGGTCAAACCATTTGGCCCAGGAACTAGTCAAGTCACTAGTTCCATTTTAGCCCTGCACTACTACTTTACAAAAAAAAAAAAAAAAAAAAAAAAAAAAAAAAAAAAAAACATTGAAATGGTTGGAGAACCACTGACACAGACGTTTTAACTGTTAAAATGTTCAACCTGGTTAACAGTTCTCAAGTTGCTTTCAAACTAATTCCAATTTTTTATTTATTTTTAAAATAAAAAATGAAAAAAGAAACTTCATATCTCATAATCTTGCTCAATTATTCGCAATGGCCAAAATTAGTTAGGGTTTTTAGCTTTTCCATTTTGATTTTGAGTTTTCTTATTTCTGTGATTCTTTTTAACTTGTAACAAAAAAAAATGCAACTCTAATGAAAAAATCGAAAAATCAATGCAAGAAATGGGAGATTAAACACCACTCTTATATTAGAAATCTAAAATGCACTAGCAAAAATCTAGGGTTTGAGAGAGATTTAGAGAGATTAAAGAGATGTAAGAAGAGGGCAAACAATGCTATAGCAGCAGTGATGATGAACATAGAGATAGTCATCGGCAACGACTTCTTCTTCTTCTTCTTCTTCTTCTTCTTCTTAAGGCAAATGGCTTTGCAACAACGAACAATGAACATGGTGACAACCACCTCCGACAAGTGCTTCATTCTCTTCTTCTTCTTCTTCTTCTTTCTCACTTCTTTGCTCTAACTAACCACCTCCTTCTCAAAGTCTCACACTCTCCTCTCATAATAATGTATACATATGGTGGACTTTAACCTAATCCTAATCTAATGGTCAAAATGATAAGTTACATTATATTTTACAACTTACCAGTTTAACCCACTTAAACTAGATAGTTGAACCGCTAACCCAAAATCTAGAAGCCAAAGCAGTTTCGTTTCTAGGTCAGTTTTTAAAACCTTGATTTTAGTCTAAAGAAAGTTCCATATTCTTATTCATAATTTTAATAGTAGTGTAAATATAGAATTATAGATGTGTTTAATTTTTTCTATAATTTTTTTGTATTTTTGTGTACAAAAATAATTCTGATATGTTCACTAACATTTTGTTTAATAATGATAAATATATGATATTATACATGTGCTTGAATGTTTTTGTTTTGCAAAATTTATGTATTCTTTTCATTTTTGTTTTCTTATATTTTATTAATTTTTATTGTTTATTTATGACATTAAAAATTAACACATTGAACCTAAAAGCTGAACTATTTATTATTAATATTTATATTTCATTTTTTGTCAGTTGGGGATGGTTTTCATGGGTTTTGTGCATCCAATGGGAGCTTGGGGCGTGCCTGTCATGGCAGTCTTGTATTTGGGGTTGTTAGTGGCAAAAAATGTAAATTTGATGAACTTCTAAATGCGGTTGTCTTTTCTTAGCTTTAAGTGGATACCTTTGGGTTTTGGGGTTTTTTTGGATCTATTAGTTTAAATTTCATTAGTCCAAGTGTTCTAATGGGTCAATTAAGTGGTTGGCATCAGTCCCTACCCTCTTGTGGTCCTTTACCCTCTTTAGCCACTGAGACAACATTTCTTTTATGTCAATAACTAGAATAAATTAACTTTTATTAATTAATATTTACATAAATTCTCAAAAACCAACATACACTTATCTACCAAATCTACATTTATATCAAAAAGTTGATTTTTAATTTAAATAAATTTTAAAATATTAATAATAGAATAATTATTTTAATACTTAAAATTTACTAATTTACACATGATATATATATCTCAAAWTTTTTTATAAATTATTAATTAATATTTTAATTTACGTTAAATAACCATGTATTTATTATTTACAAAAATAAAAATATTATTTATAAAATATTTAAAAATGTAATATAAATTGAACCTATCAAATCCATTAATCTACATTTATATTAAAAAATTATTTTTTTATTTTAGAAATTTATAAAAATAAAAATATTAATGATGAAATAATTATTGTAGTAATTAAAATTTGTTAATTTTCATATAATATATCTTTGAAATTTAAATAGATTTGATATATTTTAAGTTAGGATTATATATTTTTATAAATTATCAGTTAATTTTTATTTGTTTTTTATAATAACATATTTATTGTTTACAAAAATGAAAATATTGTTTACCAAAATTTTGAGAATTAATTTTTAGTTAACATTTTTGTTAATGTTAAAAGTTATAAGTAGTAAAATAGAAAAATGATATAATAATTGAAATATAATAGTTGTGTATGTTTTGTGCCTTGGACTTTAATATAAAATAAGATAATAATGGCTTTGTGCATGTATTAATTTGTAAAAATCTATATACTATGTTTTTTTGGAATCTTGATTAATGCATATCAATAAAATTGTTTGATATCTACACATTCTACTATTTTAATTGTAATATATTTCTTCATATATACCGTCAAAATATACAATTCTTATATATTTATACATTATTTGTAGCTATTTTGACATTAAAACTATTGTTAGTAATATATTTATGGAATTAACTTCATTTTCCTAGCATATCCAAGTGTTTTTATGTTTTTTCGTCCGTATCCATGTGTTTCCAAAGCGTATCTGTATCCGAGTTAAATCCAATACGATACTCGATACCCATACTTTAATCCTTGGTTGAAACTGCTGATATGATGATTCAATTTGACATGTCAAAATTGTATCTTTATAGTTTAACAATCAAACAGATGAATTAGGATGTGAAATTTGACGTACTAGGGTTTTTTGGGTCTCTAAACATAGTGGTGATGTTTGATTGGTTAAATAGGGTCTGGATGATTGAGATCTATGGCTGATAAGTTCCGATCAATGAGATTCACTGAAATAGAATATTCGTTTGATAAAGGGTTAAACGATGAAATTTTGGGATGAAATTTGGTGGGTTGGAACTTTTGAATGTCCTGAATTTAATGGAAGTGATAGATCTTTGATCAGAGGTGTAGATTGATTGATTTAGTTAAAATCATGGTCTTAGCTTATGGTTTTTCAATCAACGAGAGGGCCCAAAATGGAATCTTATTTTCTCAACAGTTAAATGCAGGTGTTTGGTTATGAAATTTGATGTGTTGGGGTATTTTGGGTCTCCAAACACAATGGTATGGTCTGATTGGTCATGAAGTTGGGATGACGGATGGTAAGCTCTAATTAATGAGGTTTGCTGAAATGGGATTTAGGCTTGATGGGGGGCTAAATGGGGGACTTTTGAGTTATAATTTGGTAGGTAGGCATGTATTAGGGTGAGGAGTCAAGTGGATGGTTCTGATATAAGAAAGACATGGTCAATCTTGGTAATCGTTTAGATCCATCTGAATGAGATCTTGATATTTTTAAGGTTTGTTGTAGATTTGTGTTGAGATTCATTAGTTGATTGTTTCCTAGTGGTCTTGAGGTAATGGATATGTTGGATTTAACTTTGGAGCTATTGGAATTTGAATATTGTATAGATCGGGGCCATTAGAAAGGAAGTTGGCATGATGAATGGTTGATCTTTGCAGTTTAGTTATGAAAACTAATGTGTAACTAAGTTGTAGTTTTCCAAGTCTAGGGATAATGTCTGATCAAATATTGATATTGA